TCGGTAGCATGATCTCCATCTTAACTTGATATATTGTCAGTTTTATATTGCTCCTCAGACTTCCCAGGTTCAGGATTGCCAGCATTCTTTATTGAATTATTTATAGTGTTATAACTTGCGATAGCAGCTGCAAAAGACAAACAACTGCAGGCTAAAAAGAGAAAATTCAAATTAGAGGTAAGTGAAAACGAGAAATAGTGTCACACTGATACATTTTCCTCAGCTTCAGCTAATGTTCATCTTCACGTTTATCAAGAATCAGTATTTATTACAGTAATTTTTTTGTGCTGTATGCGTTTTATATAACTACTGTAATCTAGCCTATCCTACCTAGACTGAACGTTCGTAACCCGCATGTCAGTTACCAAACACTGTCACATGATGGTTATGCTATAAAATCTATATTCGCATTTATTATTATTATTATTATTATTATTATTATTATTATTATTATTATTATTATTATTATTATTATTATTATTATTATTACCAGCTTTGTAATAGCAGTGTCATTATTAAGTTACCATAGTGCTTAATTATTGTTGTTTTGAGTTTGGGTATCCACCCGGAGCTTGCACTATAGGTTCATCGAAACTATTAGAGACCCCAGGGCTGTCGCCTTTCTCTTCCAGTGTCTTGAGTTTCCGAACAGCGTCTGAGGAGCTTAAAAAGCCCCACAACTTAAATTATCGTTTGCAGTTCTACGTGGTGTGGTACCACGCTGTTATTAGGTGGCGTGAGTTGCAATTTACCAATTATATTGAAGAAATAGTGATATTAATTCCAATAACTAAAAAATACTTCTTCTAATCGGCTTCAAATTATTATCAATGATGCTTTCCATAAGAGGGTTGATGCCCACATAAGTTTAGTCTGAGTAGGAACAAATTTGAAATTTGAAGTTTTACTAAAATTGCCAAAAGATTTGGAATAGTTGGAATTAAAGCAATTATTGAGATTACCTCTTCTGATATGCTTAATAATATGTTTCACCATTTTTGGGTTTTATTAAAATAAAGTATCGCGTTCACTCTGAGATGTGCAGACATTAACATGTCAGTTTTATTCAATAGGTTATTATTATTATTTTTAAAGATTCGCCGGTATTCTCCCGGCCCGGGCCTTTTCCAAGTGGTGGCCCGGCCTTGGCTCCCTATCTAGGGAGTGTCTGAGACCTAAGTCTCCCATGGGAGGAGGTACAAACCACATTCCCCGCCCTCACGGGGCTCGTAGGGAGAAGCTAGGCCTCTCTGGTCTGCCATCCCCGCCCCAAGGGAGCTAATGAGAATGACAGTCTTGTGAGCTGAAAGCTCCGGCTCAGGCACCTACCCTACCTTAGAAGGGCTAGGTATGGAATCGATGATTTTCAATAGGTTATTATTTATTTTTTTTTATTCGCCGGTACTCTCCCGGCCTCGGTCTTTTCCAATAGTGGTGACCCGGCCTTGGCTCCCTGTCTGGGGAGTATCTCGAGACCTAAGTCTCTTGTTTTCCATTTAATAACTACAGAATCTCTCTTCTAAAACAATGGTATATCTTAATAGTAAGTACTTTTTTATTGATTTTGGGATGTGGTTGCTAATTTACCAATTTTTTAAATGCAATTTTATCGAAGCGAATTTCCTTAAGAAAATAAAGACTTTTTTTTTCTTAAGGGATTCTAGAGAATTTGAAAATCATTATAAAAGGAAAAAAAAAAATAAAAAAAATGTGTATTTAGGACGCTTTTAAATTCAACGAGGAATGACTTACCTATTTTCAGAGAACCAGCTTATTACATTAGCTTTAAATTTTCACAGAAGGCTTAATGTCTCTTGGGCAAAATTCATGGCACTATTTACATGCTTTGGTGCCCAATGGACAATGTTACATGTGCCCCCCCCCCCTCCTCCTTTGATTTTGTTTCCGGGTGATAACTAGAGAAAACTTCCTCTGATCGGTTATAAAATCTAAACATGTGTGCACCTTCCATGAACAAGATTGTCATTGTTAGTGGAGTATGAAGATGCTCTTTTAGCAGTTTTAATCTCGAAATTATTTTCCCTTTTCTTGACCCAAGGAAATGGGCTTATCCTTCCCTTACTTAGAAAAAAGTTTGGATTTATTTTGTTCTGTTTCTTTTTCAAATTTGCCTTTTGTTATGGATAAAGCTGGAAAATTTGAAAAACTGATTTTCGTGAGATAATTTATGGGTGCCTCATCTAATTGCTTTCACATTTCAACAATGATAATTTGATAACACAAGCTGTGAGAAGCTTCTTATTTAATGTGCTAATGTATTTTATTATATTGGTCTCTCTGAGGTAACAACTGAATGCTTCTTCAGTTCGGCATCACACCTGTTGTTTCTTACTAGAAGATTTAAATTTGTTTAGGGCTGTGTATGTCTTAATTTTTTCATTTTTATTGAAGAAACTGGTATATTGGAATCTATGTGAGAACTTGTGAATTCCAAATCTGACTGGCTTCAAACACCGCTAATAATTAACTGCAATACATACTTATGCCGAAGTATCCATAAATTTTTTCGCATGTATTGACGTACAGAGGATCGCATAGCGGCCGAGAAAGGTACTACAGCTGTTGTCGTTCATGGAACAGTGATACTTAGATATTAACAGGATATTTAGTGAATAGGTTTGCCGTGAACCTCTAATTTTGGTGGTCCACTCTTTCTGTTACAGATCTGTCTGTATAAAAATCATATATATGCTGTTTGTATATGATTTAAAATGGTTTGCACTTTACCATAGAACTCGTCCTTCAAGTTTCATGCATCTTGATTTTATTTGCCTTCAAATCCATCACACTATCTTCTCTTTGTGAGGTGCACACCAATCCTTCCGAGTGATTTTTCTTTCAATTCTATTTATCATTTTGCAGTGTGGGATTTCGTCAAATCCGTTCCTTGTCTTCGCTTCTTTTAGTAAACGTGGGAGAAACTCTGAACCCGAAGGGGTCATATAACACTACTGAATAGGAGGCACTAAGATTCGATCTAAGGAAGGAGACAATAAGCCCAGTTATTTGCAACAAGAGACATTCATCGGCATCAAGGTACCTCCCTAGAGGAGTTGTCAAATCTTTCATCTTAGGACTATGTTTAGAAAATACATCGGTTTTGTACATATATAACTTGGAGAGAAGCTGAGAAGTTGGCTGACTTAACATCTAGTGTTCTGATTGAATTTAAACGATAGTATTATTTGGAAAATGGTTCGGAGAGCCGACATGTTGATAAATTAGACACATGTGCAACATTTGGGTATCTTTACTGAGGAAACGTTTCGCCACACAGTGGCTTCATCAGTCCATACAAAGGAGAATGGTGAAGAACAGGAGGAGTGTGAGGTAATCTGTCTCTTAGCCTCGAGTCGATATAATCAGTCCATCAATCTTGAAAAGAATGCAACAGTATGTGCAAAGAAGTGGTTTATATACTCTAGGCAGGTGAGGTGCAGTAGTCGTAGGTGGTATCACATTTGACAAATCCAAATGTGGAAATAGGTTATGCCTAAAGTTAGGCAAGTGAAGAATTCCCTGTATGAAGATCCCAAGATGTTGCTGTGTCTGACAGGAATGTAGATGAATAGTTCAGAGAACCGACAAGTTGAAGGACTAATTACCTCAAACTCCTCCTGTTCTTCACCATTCTCCTTTGTATGGACTGATGAAGCCACTGTGTGGCGAAACGTTTCCTCATTAAGGATACCCAAGTGTTGTACATGTGTCTAATTTATTAATAGCGTTATTCTTGGCCTTCTCAAAGTTCTCTGCTTGTTACTCTTTTGTTTACAAATCATCGCAGCTACAGTTCATGTTATCAGCGCTGCTTCAGTCAATTTACTTTTTTTCAAGGTAGGACATTTGCTAATACTAGAAAATATACAGAGGTCGTTTTAAAACCTGAACAGGATCAATAAAACATCGTTATTCAATGGGAATGTATTCGCTAAAATGATAAAACATACGTGAAAAATACGTAGGAATTAGGACCCCAGTTTTCACACAGTATAGGTGTTTCTTGAGTGTGATATTAAGATAAGGTAGAATAAATTAAGTGAAATGTAAGAGTAAGCAAAGATACAATTAGTGAATTCTTTGTCAACAACCGTAGTCCACCACTCTTCATTTTTCTACTAAAAGATATAAGATAAATTGTCGCAAAAGAAATTTATGCTTTAAGACGGAATCTAGACCAATTCTTGTAGTAATCACCAGATCAGCCGGGGTGTGATGGCTAAGTATTTTCTTGGGTCACTAGTAGGATCAGCCTGGTTTACCAGGCAGACATTAATGAAGTTTGGCCTTAGACCGGGTTTCGAAAGAAGAACTTGTCACAGGAGCATACAAAGATTTTAAAACGCCGTCATTACAGAAATCGTCCTTCCTCCCATATACAATACTCTGTGTACATCTTATAATACTCTTCTTTTTCTACTTTAATATTTACTTCCATTGAACATACAGTCTTCGACTTCTTAAATTTTACAGTGAAGACTCACTTCTGGATATTAAAGGGATTATGTTGTTCTTCATAATAAGTGTAAGATAGGCTGTGTTCTATGTACAAATGTTCTCTTACTAACTCAGATTTAATATAAGGTTATGAAGTTTTCAGAATACATACCGCAGTATTTCTTAAATACGTCACTAAGACTTATAATGAGGAATTTACCCTTCAAGTGTAGGTGAATTGATTCCATTGATGGGTTCTTAGTTCCTGGAATTAGAGCTACCCTCTCTTTCCTTGGATCAAACCCGATTACCTCACATTCACCAGATGCTATATGACTCCTACGGATTTAGCATAACTTCACGAAGAGTAAAACTGTCTGCAAAAATTCTCAATATATTATTTGCACGTGATTAATAAAACATCATATTTTTTTAAATAACACTTTTTTTTTATCAGACAGCATGAAGCACTTGTGCTAGACTATTCTTAATACTTACTGTTTAAGGCAAGAAAAGTTCCTAATAGTCACTCTTTCTTTCAGATCCTTGTTAGGTCAGAGTGCCTCGAGACTTCAAATATATCCCAGATATCTCGGGGTGTCGCTACAAATTATGGATCGTCCAGTGTTTCACTGATGCAAGACCAAGGTCATGGTGGACCACTACAGTCAGTGAGTGATAGCAGACCACTTCTAGGAGAAGACAATAGATTCTCCAGCATTCCTTTATCTTTTTTAACAGAGGCAAAACTTTTTGCTTCCCAGGGCAGCAGTATAAGAAAATCTAGAAATTATTACCGTACAACTTATGACCAATTTATTCCCATTTTAAGAACCTCTAATATTAATTCAGAAAATATGGATTATTTAGATGGTGAGAAAAAAAGCCATATATTAGACAAAGTAAGCAATAAACAAAAGCATTCAGAAACTACTGAAGCATCACCCCTCGACAATATTAGCCTTGTTAAGAGGTCTACCGAGAGTTTTTCATTTAATAATATATCAACAACATTTTCTAGCTTAGACTCACTAATTATGTTCTTCAACAGAAGCCAATACTCTATCAGTGCCATGAAATATAATAACCTAATGAGGGACATGCACAAAGACAGAACGTTGCCCGTGCAAGTCAAGAACCAAATGTGGGATAATTACGTAAGTGAATTGAGAACTAGAGTGCGTCGTCACAGTGAACAACAGTTAATTGAAGTTAAAATAGACAGTAATAATGTACCGGGTACAGCAAATTCCGATATTCACATGAATAAAACAAAGGTTTATAGAGCACACGACGGAATTCCAAACAACTTGGCCAATATTGCTTATGAGCATCTGAATGTAGAAAATAAAACTGTGGTATATACTCCAGCCGTTGAGGAAGAACTACATGTGTGTGTGTATCCACAATACTTCGTGTACACCTGGGTCTTATGCATGGTTGCACTTGCATCTTTCCTCAAGTTAAACTATCTCGTCAAGACAATTGTTTTGGTGTTCATGATAACCTGTTATGGGCTCCTCATCATTAAATTTAGCTCAATCTTCGATCCTGTGCACAGGTAATCCTATGATTATTTTATTGAGAAACTATTATTTCCTCATTTTCACGTGATACAAAATTCCATTCACATATTGCTCATGTACTTACAGGATCCATTTGGATGTAGTATTTCCTATCATATTACCCATTCCTTTACTGTATTTATTAGTTACAATACTCTTGACTGTTTCTTTATTGATGTCATAATAACATTATTTTATCTTTATGTTGTCAATGTTCTTTAATTGACATAATAGGCATCAGTTTGTCACCGTTGCAGTTGTTAGTTATTATGTGTCACTTGTCAATAGACTTAGTCTATTTTGTGTGAATGTGCTCACCTGTTTGTGGTTTCAGGGGTCGATTCACAGTGTGTGTATACTCACCTATTTGTATTCACCTAATTGTGGTTTGCAGGGGTCGATTCATACGTCCTCGCTCCGCCTCTTCACTGATCGCTACTAGGTCTTCTCTCCCTGCTCCATATGCTTAATCAAACCTCGTCTTAAAACTATGTATGGTTCCTGCCTCCACTGCGTCACTTTACACACTATTCCACTTCCTGACAACTCTATGACTGAAGAAATACTTTCTAACATCCCTCTGACTCATCTGAGTATTCAACTTTCAATTACTTCTGTCCCATCTCTAGAGCATCCTGTCTCTGACCACCTTGTCAATTCCTCTCAGTACTTTATATGTCGTTATCATATCTCCCCTAACCATTCTGTCCTCCATTGTCGATAGGCCAATTTCCCTTAACTCTCTTCTACAAAATTCATTTTGTAATTCCATAAAAGTCATACCATTTCCCTATTTCACAAACCTCTTCAATGGCTATAAATGCCACAAATGTATATACCTAATTCTCTTGTTATAAATTTTCTGCTATCATATTTACAGAGTATTTGATCACTACCTTCATTTCTTTCCCTGTTAAACATTCTAGTCATTCATTCTTCCATTAAGTCTACACAAAATTAGATATTAAAACATGTTTTTTAAATAAAATTTTTAAAGCCCAATAGAATGTCAAATTCTTTGGGAAAGAATAATTTATGAAGATGACAATGTATATTTATGCTAATTAACATTTAACTTTCAATTTTTTTTTTTTGCATTTAATATTTAAGTAAAAGTTATGTGTGAGGACGTCTTACACTTGCTGTGTGAGGACGTCTTACACTTGTTGTGTGAGGACGTCTTACACTTGTTGTGTGAGGACGTCTTACACTTGTTGTGTGAGGACGTCTTACACTTGTTGTGTGAGGACGTCTTACACTTGTTGTGTGAGGACGTCTTACACTTGTTGTGTGAGGACGTCTTACACTTGTTGTGTGAGGACGTCTTACACTTGTTGTGTGAGGACGTCTTACACTTGTTGTGTGAGGACGTCTTACACTTGTTGTGTGAGGACGTCTTACACTTGCTGTGTGAGGACGTCTTACACTTGCTGTGTGAGGACGTCTTACACTTGCTGTGTGAGGACGTCTTACACTTGCTGTGTGAGGACGTCTTACACTTGTTGTGTGAGGACGTCTTACACTTGCTGTGTGTAGGACGTCTTACACTTGTTGTGTGAGGGACGTTCTTACACTTGTTGTGTAGGACGTCTTACACTTGTTGTGTGAGGACGTCTTACACTTGTTGTGTGAGGACGTCTTACACTTGCTGTGTGAGGACGTCTTACACTTGTTGTGTGAGGACGTCTTACACTTGCTGTGTGAGGACGTCTTACACTTGCTGTGTGAGGACGTCTTACACTTGCTGTGTGAGGACGTCTTACACTTGCTGTGTGAGGACGTCTTACACTTGTTGTGTAGGACGTCTTACACTTGTGTGTGTGAGGACGTCTTACACTTGCTGTGTGAGGACGTCTTACACTTGCTGTGTGAGGACGTCTTACACTTGCTGTGTGAGGACGTCTTACACTTGTTGTGTGAGGACGTCTTACACTTGCTGTGTGAGGACGTCTTACACTTGCTGTGTGAGGACGTCTTACACTTGCTGTGTGAGGACGTCTTACACTTGTTGTGTGAGGACGTCTTACACTTGTTGTGTGAGGACGTCTTACACTTGCTGTGTGAGGACGTCTTACACTTGTTGTGTGAGGACGTCTTACACTTGCTGTGTGAGGACGTCTTACACTTGCTGTGTGAGGACGTCTTACACTTGCTGTGTGAGGACGTCTTACACTTGCTGTGTGAGGACGTCTTACACTCACTGTGTGTGAGGACGTCTTACACTTGCTGTGTGAGGACGTCTTACACTTGCTGTGTGAGGACGTCTTACACTTGCTGTGTGAGGACGTCTTACACTTGCTGTGTGAGGACGTCTTACACTTGTTGTGTGAGGACGTCTTACACTTGCTGTGTGAGGACGTCTTACACTTGCTGTGTGAGGACGTCTTACACTTGTTGTGTGAGGACGTCTTACACTTGCTGTGTGAGGACGTCTTACACTTGCTGTGTGAGGACGTCTTACACTTGTTGTGTGAGGACGTCTTACACTTGCTGTGTTAGGACGTCTTACACTTGTTGTGTGAGGACGTCTTACACTTGCTGTGTGAGGACGTCTTACACTCTGTGTAGGACGTCTTACACTTGTGTGTGAGGACGTCTTACATTGCTGTGTGAGGACGTCTTACACTTGCTGTTGAGGACGTCTTCACTTGCTGTGTGAGGACGTCTTACACTTGCTGTGTGAGGACGTCTTACACTTGCTGTGTGAGGACGTCTTACACTTGCTGTGTGAGGACGTCTTACACTTGCTGTGTGAGGACGTCTTACACTTGCTGTGTGACGTCTTACACTTGCTGTGTGAGGACGTCTTACACTTGCTGTGTGAGGACGTCTTACACTTGCTGTGTGAGGACGTCTTACACTTGCTGTGTGAGGACGTCTTACACTTGCTGTGTGAGGACGTCTTACACTTGCTGTGTGAGGACGTCTTACACTTGCTGTGTGAGGACGTCTTACACTTGCTGTGTGAGGACGTCTTACACTTGCTGTGTAGGACGTCTTACACTTGCTGTGTGAGGACGTCTTACACTTGCTGTGTGAGGACGTCATACACTTGTTGTGTGAGGACGTCTTACACTTGTTGTGTGAGGACGTCTTACATTGTGTGTGAGGGACGTCTTACACTCTGTTGTGTGAGGACGTCTTACACTTGCTGTGTGAGGACGTCTTACACTGTTGTGAGGACGTCTTACACTGTGTGTGAGGACGTCTTACACTTGCTGTGTGAGGACGTCTTACACTTGCTGTGTGAGGACGTCTTACACTTGCTGTGTGAGGACGTCTTACACTTGCTGTGTGAGGACGTCTTACACTTGCTGTGTGAGGACGTCTTACACTTGCTGTGTGAGGACGTCTTACACTTGGTGAGACGCTACTGTGTGTGAGGACGTCTTACACTTGCTGTGTGAGGACGTCTTACACTTGCTGTGTGAGGACGTCTTACACTTGCTGTGTGAGGACGTCTTACACTTGCTGTGTGAGGACGTCTTACACTTGCTGTGTGAGGACGTCTTAACACTTGTGTGAGGACGTCTTACACTCACTGTGTGTGAGGACGTCTTACACTTGCTGTGTGAGGACGTCTTACACTTGCTGTGTGAGGACGTCTTACACTTGCTGTGTGAGGACGTCTTACACTTGCTGTGTGAGGACGTCTTACACTTGCTGTGTGAGGACGACTTACAATTGATGTGTGAGGACGTCTTACACTACACTTACAGTGTGAGGACGTCTTGCACTTGCTGTGTGAGGACGTCTTACACTTGCTGTGTGAGGACGTCTTACACTTGCTGTGTGAGGACGTCTTACACTTGCTGTGTGAGGACGTCTTACACTTGCTGTGTGAGGACGTCTTACACTCACTGTGTGTGAGGACGTCTTACACTTGCTGTATGAGGACGTCTTACACTTGCTGTGTGAGGACGTCTTACACTTGCTGTGTGAGGACGTCTTACACTTGTGTGTGAGGACGTCTTACACTTGCTGTTGAGGACGTCTTACACTTGCTGTTGAGGACGTCTTACACTTGCTGTGTGAGGACGTCTTACACTTGCGTGTGAGGACGTCTTACACTTGCTGTGTGAGGACGTCTTACACTTGCTGTGTGAGGACGTCTTACACTTGCAGCGTGAGGACGTCTGACACCTGCTGTGTGAGGACGTCTTACACTTGCTGTGTGAGGACGTCTTACACTTGCTGTGTGAGGACGTCTTACACTTGCAGTGTGTGGACGTCTTACACTTGCTGTGTTAGGACGCCTTTCACTTACAGTGTGTAGACGTCTTACACTTACTGTGTGAGGACGTCTTGCACTTGCTGTGTGAGGACGTCTTACACTTGCAGTATGTGGACGTCTTACATTTGTGTTTGAGGACGTCTGACACTTGTAGTGTGTGGACGTCTTACACTTGCTGTGCGAGGACGCCTTACACTTGTAGTGTCTGGACGTCTTACACTTGCTATGTGAGGACGTCTTACACTTGCTGCGTGAGGACGTCTTACACTTTGCTGTGTTAGGACGCCTTTCACTTGTAGTGTCTGGACGTCTTACACTTGCTGTGCGAGGACGCCTTACACTTGTAGTGTACTGGACGTTTTACACTTGCTATGTGCGGACGTCTTACACTTGCTGTGTGAGGACGTCTTACACTTGCTGTGTGAAGACGTCTTACACTTCTAGTGTGAGGACGTCTTAGACACTTGTTGTGTGGGGACGTCTTACCCTTGCTGTGTGAGGACTTCTTACACTTGCAGTATGTGGACGTCTTACATTTGCAGTTTGAGGACGTCCTGCACTTGTAGTGTGAGGACGTCTTACACTTGCTGTGCGAGGACGTCTTACACTTGCAACGTGAGGACGGCTGACACCTGCTGTGTGAGGACTTCTTACACTTGTAGCGTGAGGACGTCTGACACCTGCTCTGTGAGGACTTCTTACACTTGTAGTGTGAGGACGTCTACACTTGCTCTGTGAGGACGTCTTACACTTGCTGTACGAGGACATCTTACACTTAACTACCTATATTTCTTTAGTCTATTTAGTTTACAGTTTGTTTAAAGGGTTGGAGAACTAGTGATGTGCCAGTATGTAACTGATACTGGTAGGCCTATGCTGCAGAGATCCTGGCTGGCGAAATTTCTGTACAATAAAGATACCCAGGTGTTGCACATGTGTCCTATTCATGAACTTGTTGTATACCATTAATGGAATGTACAGGTCATTATCTAGGTACTTGGAACTACCCTTCCCTATCCTGGATTAATACTATGAGTGTCTCAACCATTATTGAATGATAGGACTTCGAGACATGTGTATTTATATGGCAGGTCCTAAAACATATTGAACTGCATTGATGTAAGATTCTGTAGCCTTATGGCAGTTTGAATAAGCTTTTTTATGCTTTACAAATGTATGGGAGTTTGGTAATGTTGTGATATTTTAATGCCTGATTTGTTTTTATGTAAATAACCGCCAACAAAGTACCGGCATTGTTTCTTTTCGGTGGTTCTTTTTTAAATGAATACGGTATTTTATTAGAGAAGATTAATTAAGATGGGCCTCTTGTATGCTCATACCCAGACTCATTTTTGAACCCTCTGCACACGTTTTAAGTTTAATTAACTGGCATCCACTTGACGTATGACAGATATGCCGGCATGTGTAACAAACTCAGTTTACTCTCCACAAAAGTTTATTATGCAGTTTAAGAGGCTTATGTAGATTCTACAGTGGGACATCTCTCAAAACAAATGAGATAAAATTATTTAATGTACTTTGTGAGCGAGGAATAACTTATTTTATATATATATATATATATTTTTTTTTTCAGTGGGATTTCCTTACCTTTTAGAATGGCAGTCCTGCTTGTGCTCTTTTTCTTCATGGTGTCTTATCATGGTCGTCTGGTAGAAATTACCTCTCGACTTGATTTCGTGTGGAAGCAACAGGCTTTGAGGGAGCTGACAGACATGAGTGAGTGTCGCCTGTACAACACTCAGCTACTTAAGAACATTCTGCCAGATCACGTTGCAAATTATTTTCTCTCGGAAGACCGGAAAGGAGAGGTAAGGAACTGAAGAAGCAAGAAACTGTATTTTGTTTTTTATAAATGTTATTTTGTCATTAACTTTTTGTATAAATGTATGGATAGGTTTAAAATTAAGTTAGTGAAGTATATGAGTGGGTGTAAGTGAGTGTGAGTTAGACCCTCCTAGCATGGCCAGTAGGCCTGCTGCAGTGTTCCTTCTTTCATATGTTATTATAGAAGCCATACTTATTTCTTGTTGGCATATAGGTTTGCTAAAAAGTTTCTCAAGTAGCGCAGGCAAACACGAAATATGCTTGGTAAAAGTTCCTCGGTAGCAGATTTTCATAAAAATATACCTTTCCGGTGATTCTTAAATTTACCAGTCTCAAATATTATTTTTAATGTGATTTTTTTATGGCAGAGATTATTGTACTATAACTCATGATCCAAGATGGATGCGTTCCATGAGACGGCCCCACATCAAACATTCGCTGGTAAAGAAATCGTAAAAAACATGGATATGATGATCCTCACACCCGTTGACTCTGCACCCACACACAATGTTAGTTGAACAATGTGTAATTTGGAATCTGATGAATTAATAACTAGATAAACATAACGTGTTTATGTAGTGATCTTTAACTCCCGGCATAAAATTTCGGCGAGTCAAAGATCAGAGTAGCAACTCGCACATTGTGAGACAATATCGGTAAATGGTTGAATGCCTGCTACGATATTATAGTTGTAGCAGTTTATCTTACTGGTAACATCAATACAATCTAGAACACGCGGATCAAAAAAAGAAAAAAAAACTCAGCACTGAATATAGATCAGTAGGTTATCAAGCAGCTCGCGAAAGTCGCCAGTAGGGAATTCTCGTATCCTGAGGGGGTTACATGTAAGCTATGCTTGTCATGGAAGGCAAATGGTAGGAATAATAATTGTAAAATACATATCTTTATTACAAATAAAAATAATAGAAAATTATAAATGATTAACCCTGGCTGAAGCAAGTTTAAAATATTAATATAATATATCAAAGTGAGCAATACAAACAACAGATACCAAGCCAGAAAAATGTCAGGAAGCTGCAGTAATGCGAGCTGCTGTATATCTTTGCAGAGACGTGGTAAGTCGTGGAGATTCAAAAACGTATCGTCCAACACTTGTAGCTCAGGAAAGATTGTCTTGGGGGCAATTGAGTTTTAGCTACCAAGAAATTTTGAGACTAGGAGTTGACGGGACACGATGACCATACGACAGCTACAGCAGCTAAGCTGTCAGATAATAAATAACAATAATCTTTATTTCTACAAGTACATACTACAACTTATACAAACCTAGCTGACATCAGTGACATACTTAAAAAGCCCTTGATTATGCAGAGCATTTCGGGCACCTTAGGTCCCGTAGCTCGATTGCTAGCGCACACAACTCACACACTGAGGTCTGGGGGTCGATACCTGGTACGGGTGGAAACATTAGGACGTGTTTCCTTAAGGCACCTGCTGTCCATGTTCACCTATCAGTAAAATAGGTACCTGGTTATTAGTCGACTGGTGTGGGTCGCATCCTGGGACAAAATGACCTAATTTGTCATTGATGTCAGCTAGGCCTGTATACCCAGTACATGTACTTGTAAAAATAAACATTATTATTATAATCTTGTTTCCCAGGATGCAACCCACACCAGTCGGCTAACACCCAGGTACCTACTTACTGCTAGATGATCAGGGATAGCAGGTGTAAAGAACAAGCCCAATACTTACACATACCAGAGACAATGTGTGAGCCGAGTGCACTTCCCAGCGAGTTACGGGACACTAATCCATTAGTTGATGAAGATTCTGTGAGCCCCCTTCCACTGACAGCTCTACCTAGTCCACAAGAGTAGTGCAATCCAACACCAGTTCTACGGGTTGAGAAAAACAGAGGTTACCAGAGGACCCAAGTAGAAATAAGTCACTCTGACATTTTTGGGTTATCCCAGGTTCTCTACGCATATGCTGCTATGTATGATCTATGTAACTGTATTTGTGTATACCTGAATAAACTTTCTTACTATATGGCACATGTAGTAATAAAGATTATATAAAAGCCAAGTTTAAACCTAACGTGAAATGCAAGTAACCTTAAAAAAAAAAAAAAAAAAAAAAACAGCCTATTAATCCCAGCATATTACTTACTCTAGTGAGAATCATAAATAAGTACTACTGTTTTTTTTTTACCCCCGCTGAAAATTTTAATCTTCATAGCAAAAGTTACAATGTGTGGTTTACATATTATAAAATTTTATTACAAAGGAAAGCCGCTAGATGATATGCATCTGTCAGGACGAAAATTATAAAAAGAAAAAAAATGCGAGAGTTTAGATACCATATTGACCCGGTGGTTGCCACAGTTTTAGGTATTGAGGTGTTTATCTCTGATTACATATTTTTTTTTTATTAACACACTGGCCGATTCCCACCAAGGCAGGGTGGCCCAAAAAAGTAAAAACTTTACCCATCATTCACTCCATCACTGTCTTTGCCAGAAGGGGTTGCTTTACACTACAGTTTTAAATGTAACATTAAACACCCTCCTTCAGAAGTGCAGGCACTGTACTTCCCATCTCCAGGACTCAAGTCCGGCCTGCCGGTTTCCCTGACCCCTTCATAAAATGTTACATTGCTCACACTCCAACAGCACGTCAAATATTAAAAAACATTTGTCTTCCATTCACTCCTTCAAACCACGTTCACGCATGCCTGCTGGAAGTCAAAGCCCTCGCAACACATAACCTCCTTTACCCCCTCCCTCCACCTTTCATAGGGACGACCCTTACCCACCTTTCTTTTCCACTACAGACTGATACACTCTTGAAGTCATTCTGTTTCGGCTCCATTCTCTCTACATGTCGAACCACCTCAACAACCCTTCCTCAGCCTCTGGACAACAGTTTTGGCAATCCCGCACCCATCCTAACTTCCAAATACGAATTCTCTGCATTATCTCACACCACACATTGCCCTCAGACCATGAATATCCACTGCCTCAGCCTTCTCCTCGCTTCAACATTCGTCCCCAACTTGAACCATTAAGAGCTTTGGGTAAAACTATACCCAACATTCCCCCTTTGCCCCCCAAGGAAAATTCTTTTTCCAAGACTCCAAGTACACGCTCACCCTTTTTCCCCTCATCAATTCAGATTCCCTCATCTTCATAGACCCATCCCTGACACGTTCTCCCAAATATCTAAATACATTCCCTCCCCCATACTCACTCTCCCCCCATTGACATCCTTTTCATCACCAAAATCTTTTTGTTACCCTCAAACCTTTCCTTTAATGTATTATTTTTTAATTTTCTTCTTTTACATCCCCTACCAAATTCATCCACCAATCTCTGCAACTTCTCTCGGAATCCCCAAAGACCGTTCACAAAAAAAGAAACTGAGACAACCCCCCACTTTAGGTTATTCTTATTTTTTAAACTCCACCCCTTTGCCAAGACCCTTTCCCATTTATTTTCTCTTACAACCCATCTATAAATTTTTAAAAACACCACGGTGACATCACAATATCTTCCCCAACTTGCAAGAAGACTTTAAATGAGAAAATGAGTCTCATGTAGTATTTTAGTATTTCCCAGCTACCTTCAATCAATCGTTTTTTCTTAATTTGTTACCAGAAAAGGATACTCCCCTGGCGGGTTTTGCTTGTAATAAAAATACTAAGTAAGTTTAATCAGGTATACAAAATACGGTTTCATAGGTTTATCATACTAAAAACTGGTGTAGAAACCAGGATAACCCAGTGCAGAGTGCTTTTTTCCATTGGGGTCCTTTTAAAATCTTTATTTTTCTTAATGGAATTACTAACGATAAGGTTTAAAAAGAATTTTTTTATATTTTATTCTGTTAACTAAAAAAATAAACATTTTACTCCCTTTTTGTCGCTACATTCATCAGGGCCCCTCTGACTTTTCTTTTAGTTGTATACACTGAGAGTAAAAGGTAGTTGGATACAAGGGGAATAGAAGCATCAGGAAGAAGAGGTGAAGGTTATAAACTAAAAAAAGGAGGGAGTTAGGGTAAATAAACAGCTATTGGAGGGGTAGAGGGCTAATAAGCATGGGAATGGGGTTCGAAAGGGGATGGGGGGGTTTTTTTAAATGTAGTTTAGGTGTTTTGCAGAAGTTTGTGGTTCAGGGAAAAAGGGTGCAGGAGGGGAAAAGGAGTGGGTTGTGGAATATGATGTAAAGAGAGTAGTAAGGGAGAAAAAATTAGCATATAAAGTTTTTACAAAGAGAATGATGCAAGGGGGGAAATATATGGAGAAAAAGAGAGAGGTTAAGAAGTGGTGAAAAGCAATGTAAAAAAAAGAGCAAAAAGAGAGAGTGGGTGGAAGTTATCAACAAATTTTTTTGAAAATAAGAAAAAGTTTTGGATGAGATTAAAAATTTTAAAAAAGCCTAGAGAACAAAGGGATTTGTCAGTTAAAAAATAGGAGAGGAGAGTTATTAAATGGAGAGTAGAGGTTTTGGGGAAGATGGAGGGAATATTTTGAGGAATTGTTAAATGTTGATGAAGATGGGGAAGCTGTGATTTCGTGTATAGGGCAAGGAGGAATAACATCTTGTAGGAGTGAGGAAGAGCCAGTTGTGAGTGTGGGGGAAGTTCATGAGGCAGTAGGTAAAATGAAAGGGGTAAGGCAGCCGGGATTGATGGGATAAAGATAAAAAATGTTAAAAAAGAGGTGGGGATATAGTTTTGGAGTGGTTGGTGCAATTATTTAATAAATGTATGGAAGAGGGTAAGGTACCTAGGGATTGGCAGAGAGCATGCAAGTTCCTTTGTATAAAGGCAAAGGGGATAAAAGAGAGTGCAAAAAATTATAGGGGGATAAGTCTGTTGAGTGTACCTGGTAAAGTGTTTTGGTAGAGTTATAATTGAAAGAATTAAGAGTAAGACGGAAATAAGATAGCAGATGAACAAGGAGGCTTTAGGAAAGGTAGGGGTGTGGTGGACCAGGTGTTTACAGTGAAACATATAAG